TTCCCTTCTGTTCAGCACTGGAGAAGCTACATATGGAGTAGTGTGTCCAGTTTTAGGCCCCCCACTACAGAAAGGAAATGGACAAATTGGAGAGAGGTCAGTGGAGGGCAACTGAAATGGTTAGAGGGCTGGGGCACATGACTGATGAGGAGAGGCTGAGGGAACAGGACTTATTTAGCCTGGAGAAGAGAAGATTGAGGGGGATTTAATAGCCGCCTTCAACTACCTGAAGGAGTGTTTGAAACAGGATGGAGCTAGACTGTTCTCAGTGGTAGCAGATGACAGAACAAGGAGCAACGGTCCCAAGTTGCAGCAAGGGAAGTTTAGGTTAGTTATTAGGAAGAATTTTCTCACTAGAAGCGCAGTAAGCGCACTGGAGCAGGTTATCCAGAGAGGTTGTGGAATCTCCACCCCTGGAAGTCTTAAAGACCTGGCTATACATAAAGTCTTGGCTGGGCTGATACAGTTGGGGACGGACCTGCTTTAAGTAGGGGGTTAGACTAGATGAATGTCTGAGTCCCTTCCAACCCTAATTTTCTATGATTTTAAGACTAAATAAATAAAATAAATCACAAGCTTAATAGGTACATGTCTGCACTGCAGTCATAGGCAACAGGAAGAAAAAAAAAGGGGGCCAAATTTCTAGAATTCTTTAGATAAGTTCTATAATGTTTCTGGCTTTCAAGAATGCACTTGCATCAAGAACCACTAAAAACAAAACTAAGAGAAACACCATTACAAAGACAGAATAGAACAGAAACAGTCTTACAAATTGCTGTAGAAATCATCTGAATCTCTCGTGCCTGTTGGAAAAGGCAGACCCTAAGAACTGGATTTATGGGTAGGATTGCCAAACTGGTCAATTATCCTGTCAAATAATGTCAGACAGATCAAATAATAGGCAGTCAGTTGACTAAACTCAAGAAGTGTCAAAATATTCCATTAAGCCAAAAATACCCTTGCACAGATAGTGGCATATACCTTCCCTCCCCTCCCCCCGCAACATCTTCTGTTAGCAAAGGTGAGAAGACTGTATGCCTGGCCCCTCAGTCCTGCAGGGGTAGGACACAGACTCACACATTCTCTTGTCTTTTAGAAGCAGGCAACCCCTGCCTTGCTCCTCTCTCCTAAACTCCTCCAGCTTCATTCCCCCATTACGCCATGTGGGATTGCAAGAGCTACTCTGTGCTGAGGGAAGAACGAAAACCAGCAGCATAGAAAAAGCTTCCCCTACTAGCCACCTGCTGTCTGCAGGCATCTCCAAATGGAAACAGGAAAATGCTTGCGGAGGTGACCTGCTGCGTACCTAGTGTAACCGCAAATTAAAAACTGCTTTAGTCTTTCAGAGTTGTCATATATTTTTTTCCTCCTGTTTCATTTTTTTCAATTTTTTTTTACTGTGGTCAAGAGTTGCAGGACAAAAGCCAAGGAAAAGAAGAACTGTTCAGGCCTTGAATATCATTTACATGTTCACATAACTAAAACTGATAGTTATAAAAAATTGTTACAATTTATTGTGAAATAAAATTCTAAATAACCCAACTTAGGTACTGATGCTAATTACAGAAAACAAGCTACTGAAGTTTAAGTTTCTCTCTTCATTATTCTAATAAATGAATGTTTAAAATATTTGACCATTATTTGACAATAGTGGACCAGCCAATTGGCTAAGTATGTTTTTGACTAGTCAAATACCCAAACTTATCACGGGATATTTTCAAACATATCTGGTTAAATTATTGCTTTGTGGCATCTTTGACTTTGATATTCTAATGAATATATTTTTGTAGTCCACTAAGTCACTCTAGATTCCCATTACTCCAGATGGCTAAACATACCACATACAAACACAATATTTGATGTTTAGTCAGTTAAGATATTCAACATATTAAAATTACATATTTCATGGTTGAGTGGCAGTGAAAGGTTTCAAGAAGCCACATTATAACAAAACCAAAAACACACAAAAACAAAATAAAAACGAAAGGAGAATTTGCAGTGCTGGAAAGGTTTTGGACAGACTTAAAGTGTGGAAGAATGTTCCTTCTTACCCTTCCTTGTGCTAAACTTCAACAGGAAATGTTTTTCTTATACCTCCAAGTTCACACAGTACAAAATGCTTAAAGGCAATTTCTCACCTGGACAAAGTAACCTTTTAGCTTTGTGAATATTGTAGAGAGATGCATCACAACAGCTTTTAAATACTACTGCATAAAATCCCTGTTTCTGATGCACAGTTTGGGTGCAGCAGAGAATGCCTGTATTTTGCCATCAAAATAACGGCTACACAAATAAAATGTGGTGTGAAAGACATAAGAATGAAAACTGAAATTCATATTTGGGTCCTGAGGTAAAGATGAGAAGGTGAACAGTTCTACAAAGTTCATGTAGTTCTACTCTGACCTCTAGAGGAGAAAGCCTAGCATCTTCTTTAGGATTACTCCATTGAAGACCCAAAAAACCAGCAGCCGATTTACCTCCGAACAACAGTTCATTTGTTTCTGCAGTAAATGTTTTTGTCCTTTCCAAGTTCCGTAAGATAAACTTCTGATTTTATAGGCAGATTTTGGTTCTGGATTCTGTAGGCTCCAAACAGGACTACAAAGAAGCCACGAAAAATCATTCAACATGCCTATTTCTCTAGACCAGAGGTACTCAACCTCCAGCCCACACGCCAAATGCGGCTCACAGAGCCATTTCATTTGGTCCTCGGGACCACATATGGGTCTGAAAATTTGACAGCGAGGGACTGGTAGCCATTAATACAGCCACCCTCCCCCTGCCAAAATTGCCAAACCCCATTCCATGAGTGGCTGGTCAGAGCCAAGCTACACCCCCTTCCCCTACAGGGCTGGGTCATGCCTCCCCACTTCTGGATCAGAGTCAGGCCATGCCCTCTTCCCTCCCCATGGGGCTGGTTTAGAGCCTGGCCACATCCCCTTCCCTCCAAGGGTTGAGCCAAGCCCCCTTCCCTCCTGTTGGGGCTGGGTCATGCTCCCTCCCCACTCCAGAGGTGGGCCCCGCCCCATTGCTCCCATTAGAGTGGAGGCTCACCCTCTCTCTCCCCACCAGAGGCTAAGCTGGAACTTGCCCATGCCCCCTCCTCCTAGGGCCTAACCATGCCCCATTTTCTCTCTGCAGGAGTCAAGTTCCTTTCCCTGTGGGGCTGTACTGGGGCCAGCATGCCCCTCTGCATGGCCAGATGGTACCCACTGTGACCACCTGGGTGCCAGATTGGGAGCACCAGCTGGATCTGGCCCATGGACAGACCAGGCACTGCAAACCTAGTCCGCCAGGCAAAAAGAAAATGGGAAGGTAAATACATCCTGTAAAGCTCTGCTAACTGAGGGGCTTTGCTCTACACCCAACAGCAATAATAGAAGTTCTGATTGCAGATTATTTATGATCAATGAGGGGAATTTTCAGATTTTGTGCTGATTTTGGGGTGTCAATAGTTGGAACTGAATGTTACTTATAAAACAAAACACTTTAGCTAAGAATATTAAGAACTAGAAGTCTACAATGTAGGCACATCTACATGTGCGCTTTACTGCAGAGCTGATTAATTAGTTCTGCAGTAAAGCTTCACTATCTACACAAGCGCAATAAATTGCCAGCATCAGGGCGCAATAAATTAACTCTGATCTAAGATAGTATGGTCCCCAACAGTACTATTTTATGGCAGAGTAATTAACTCTGCTGAAATGCTCATGTAGACAGTGACTAGGGCTGGCTGGGGCATGAGGGTGCTAAAGTGCAGGAGGTGGCTGCTGCCCGGCCCTGCTTTAGCACTGTTGTGCCCCAGTCAGCCCCTCTATCACCTGACGCTGGCACCCAGAGCCTGGGGCTGATCCCCCTGCCAGCCTGGGGCTACAGCACCCCAGCTCTAACTGCTGCGGTCCCAGGTGCATGTGATGATGCTGCACCTGGTGTTGGATTAGAAATTGCATTTAAAAGTCTGTTTGGGGGGAATTGACTTATAGGTATAAAATATATTGACTTATATGCATTAAAAGGGTTCAAGATGGGCAGCAGGGGTTAACTAATTTCCAAGAAGCTTGCATGTCTCAGTCTCAGTTTCACGGCCCTGGAGACAGACAGGCTATCTAACATAACAAGGCCAATGAATGGACACAGACTGAGAACTGAGGGGGCATATGCCATACTGTCTAACACAACAAGGCTGGGAACTAAAGGAATATGTACCATACTTTCCCATAACACAAGATAAGTAACACCAACAAGGCTCCAGATCGGGGTGGGGGGCAGGGGTGAGTCCCGGTTTTGGGGGGAAACAGACCAAATTAGGAGAAGACCTGGAAGGCTACAACTAACCAGAGATAGCCATGAATGAAAAGTCGTCAGGAGGGAAGAAGAATACTTGTATGGTTTCTTTTCTGTTATCACTGTGTATCAATAAAATTTGCCTATTATTGAATGGAAAGGTCGTAGTCGGTCTGAGGGTGGTCCCCCACCCCCAGAACAAGGTCTCTGGGTCCTAAATCCAGAGCCAACACTGGGAGAAGCTGACCCTGGCATGAACTGCACCAGAATTTATTCAGGTGCACTAACTGCATGTGTAGATGCACCCTGTAGGTTTTTTGGGATTGTTACTCCTAGTTTTAGATAGCAGCAAAATACAAGGAAGCTTCAAATGTTAAGTTTCTTTTTCTTAAATAGGTAATAGTGTCTGATTCATGGAACTGAACCTGGTTAAGTAGACTTTTCATATCATTTTATATGTTTCCTGTGAATAAACAGTCAAGTTATAGACTATACTGATCTGATTTCAAGTGTACTATGTTCTTTTGAGTGCATTAGCTTTCTCAGTTTCAGTACTAAGCAATTTTGAAGATAACCTGACACATACCAGGGACTGAAAATTATCCTCTAAATGAGAGAAAGCTGACACAGATGTCAAATCTCAAATGGTCAAGGAAGCTTACTGTTGTAGAGATCAATAAACATGCAAACTTTGGACTGCATTCTATGCCCATTACCTGGTCACGGTCGCCCGCAAAACAACAACTCTTCATCGTGCACGAGTTGAAGTAACCCTGGTTGTCAAACTGAAAAACAGGCAGGCGAGAGTGGATGTCATAGAGGACTGGTGGAAGGCGCCGACGCAATGCCAGCAGCTGGGTTCCATTGCTGTTGAAGCGGACACTCATGGCACTCTGAAGGGACAGATTTCCACCATAACGGAGCAATGAACTAGGAAGAGAGAGAGGAAACAAGTGAGAAGACCCCGGGATTTGGAAGGCATAAGGATATTATTTTTATAAAATACTTGCATGAATTTCCAAACACAGTTGTCGAGAGAGAGAGAGAGAGAGAGAGAGAGAGAGAGAGAACCACAAAAAGATCTTTGCTTTGAGACTCATTTGCAGTATGCTACAAATGAACAAAGTTCTACATCTGAATGAAACCGATTTCTGGCCAGTTTTCAAAGAAAAGCTTTCAGGGTACCTAACGCCCAGAAGAATTTAACTCAAAGCTTTCATGACAAGCTATTGAGAGTAGTATTGATAGCTTCAATTAAATTAGCTGTATCCATCCCCAACTCCTATAAGACAGAATTGCTACCACGTAGGGAACCAACCAGTTGTGGAGCGTTCGTGTTTGCAACTAACCCTGCCAGCACTCGGCAGTTTTTGTTACCTGGTACCCTCTCTAGTCTGTCCCAGGCCTCTTTTGCTGTTATTTTAGCATGGGACAGAGGGAATAGCATTTTATCCTTTAGTAAGTGCTCAGACCATTACCTCACTCCTGCTTCCATTTACATCCCTACAGGACATCAGATGATTTTTGTCCCTTCTAAGGCTCACCACAATCAGTTCCAGCTGCCTTACATAAAAACCTGTTCTACAAAATAGTTATTCTGAAAAGCATAAAAGTTAGCTAGGTCTCAAAACATGCCTCACCTACAAATAATGCAAAGTACATACAATTAATTATATTAACAGTATGATGCTACTGCCTTAAAATGCATATGTGCTAGAAGTCAACGGTCAGTGATCGCATCCAGTGTGCTTCTGTCCACTTTGTTCACACTTTCAAGTTAAAATGAGCACTTAGCACGCCTAGATTAAAAAAAACAAAACAAAACAAAAAACCAAAAAAAGTATAGTTCAGACAAAAGAGAGCTTTAGTCTCCCCCAGAAGCGTAGTGGTTGAGAGGGTTAGGCTTGATATCTGTTTCCTTCCATCTTTCCAAAAGGCATATCACTCCCTGAATTGGGATGGAAGGGAGGAGCAGTATTTTGTTCCCTTTCCATTTCATTTCAAAGGATTTAACAATCCAAACAAATACCGTCCTAGACACATTCTTTTTCAATAGGTTTCAGGCAATCCCAACCAGATGATTTATTAAAAGCTGTAAATTCTGTCCACCCTCAGTAGCTAACAGGCACCAAATACAGATGCTACAATTTTAAGAGGAAATTGACTCATAGGTTTGAATGCATCATATTTTCAGATACAGCTGTCTGCCTAGACATTCATAAAAAATGAGTCACGCCCAATAGAAAGGAATCCGCATTCCACACAGGTTGAAACATGCTTTGTTTCATGAGATACTGTATACATGAAAACTATTGCTCTACGCCAGAATCAGGAAGAAACAACTTGTGCACAGGATACAGGGTCAAGTTTTGTTTTTTTCTTAAACCAAACAACGCAAAGCTAGATTTCCACAAATGAACTAGAAGTCATATTTTCAAAATGACTAGTGAGACTCAAGGTGGGCACATATGTTTTGGATGCATGGATCCCTGTAAGTTGGCTTGATCTTCAGAAAACATTGAGCACCCATTCTATGAAAATCAAGTCTTTTTGGAACCTTTGTGGTAGCCAGCTTGAAGATGTGTAGGTGATCAAGAATCTTTTCTTTCTAGTTTGTACTGTTTCTCTCTACAGTCAGTGAGTTTCATTTGCTGTTTGTGAGAGTATTTCAGAGAAGTGAAGTTAAAAACAATCCTCAAATTTCACGGGCAAGATTTACTTGTTCAATAAAGATGAATGAGAGAAAAAATAACAAAAGATAAAAAAGAAAAGAAGAGAGAAAAAAAGAAAAAGAAAATGACTAACTAGATTTCAAATGGAATGTGTACTTTAATGCTGCTGTACCAGTAGAAACTAGAGCTACCATGCTGTTTGTTTTACCCTCTCAATGAGATTTTCTATTAAAAGTATGGTGGAAAAAAAAAATCACCGTTTTCTACAGCAGCATTTAAGGAGAATTTTACTTAATGTAAAACAAATTTTCTCTCTCTGAAAGTTTAACATTTTCCATGAGAAACAAACAGACATTTTTAAAATTAAGAATATTCACTAGTTAAAACCTCAATATTCTGTTGAACAGTTAAAACAAAACATTTTCAAGCAGTTCTTCTCAGGTTTGTGGTTGTTAAGTCTAGTATGACAGTTAAGCCCTTAGTTTGAAAAGGTTATTTATTAATTTACGTGAAGTTCTCTTTCTTCCTTCCACCTCCTCCCTCTCCCCTCGCTTCATCATCTAGTCTGGCCATCTCTTCTTAACAATCTTCTTTCTTCTTGATACTACTGTCTTTTCTCTCAGCACCCATCAGTCCTTTGTCTTAAGATGAATACTATCCTCCTCCCAGCTCCTTGCATCACCAAGGCTTTCTACTAAATCCCTTTCAAAACCAAACCAGTAGACTGCCTAAAAGTAGCAATGCCCTCCAGTGTCCTATGCTGGTAGTCACTATTATAAACCCTTTATACTTTTAATCTGTTCTTTCCAATGCCTCCCACTTTTCTGGTAATAATGCCCTGGTTTTGATTGCTGTGCAATGCATGAGGCACATTCTAAAATGATATTTTATAGTAGTAGCTTAATATTGAAACAGGTTTCCATTGCATTTTACAGACACTTTTCTTAGGCTGCCAGAGTGGTCATGAGAAGTTAACAAACAAAAACACTTTAAATGTTATAAATATTTTAGTAACTTATGCGAAATAAGACTTCAAGAGAACATTTTAATTCAAGAACCAAAAGACAAGCCAGAAAACAAGAAAGTCAGAGTTAATATTATACTTAAAGTCTAAAACCTACAGAGCCATGCATTTAAGACATTGCAAAAGCAGCATAACATTCAAACTAGCCTCCTAAGGTAAATACAGCTGTCTGATAAATAGTGTTTCAGGTATTTTGCAGTTCCATGGCCACCAGAACTATGCTCCAGAACCTCAGTTTTCCATATAAATAAATGAAATAAATAAGTGGCTGCATAAAGGTTTGAAAACATTAATCAAATATGAACCAACTAGGTGCTACCTTTCCAAATTTACAGACAGCCAGGAGAATGCTTCAGGTGTATGACCTACACTTTTCATCTCCCCATGGACTTTGATTCTATAATAATTGAATGTAATATTTTTCTGCAGACTTCTTTATTTTTGTTTCCTTGCCCTTCTAGGACTTGCCTGTGTCTGCCCCTCTACTTCTCTTGATTCCCTTCAAGAGTTAATCTAATTAACCGATTGTGGAAAAATCATTTGTTTTAGCCAATCAAAGCAGGAAGACCAGAAACAGTTGAGGGAAATTTGTGCTTTATAGCAGAAGGGGAGAAACTGTTTGTGGAGTACATGCAGAAGGTATGATGTGGAAGTGGGATACAGAGACCTATATATCCATATAGGCCTAGAAAATGACATATATCCATATAGACAAAAAACGACAGATATAGCTGTATAGGCCTAAAATGACAAATTTTAGGCAACTCACAAAGGGAGCATGAAGAAGAGAATTAGAGGGCTATAGAAGGGGCTGAGGTATATATTACTGGCAGTGAAAGTAGCAAGCAAGGCTTATAGGTAAAAGCAGCTAAAAATTGGGTCTTACAAGAGAAAGCAATGAATTTAAAGTTTACCACACTTTTCAAGCTAAAATTTTCCATGGCAGACATCTTCAAAAATATTCAGTCAGACAATTTCAGGTAAAACAGTTCAGCCATTTCAAAGAACGACAATTTTCCCTAAATCCATTCTGGTTGTATTAACAACATTCTTGGAATCCTATCCCCCCACCCCTTTCCTCCTCCCACAGCTCTAGAATACACATGATTTCAAACAGAAACAAAAATTTGACAAGGGGTATCACCCTGCTGTCAGGAATGAGCCTGTTCCCATCACGTGAACGTTTGTCAAGACATACGTCTCTGAATTAATCTCAATTCATGTATGCCTCGGTAGGAATTGTTAGCTTGGCACCTAAAAACTCCAAAGATTCTAGTTTCAATGGTTTCATAGACATTAGGGCTGGAAGGGACCTCGAAAGATCATCGAGTCCAGCTCCCCACCCAAAGGGCAGGAAGTCAGCTGGGGTCATAGGATCCCAGCAAGATAAGCATCCAAATTTCTCTTGAAGGTGTTCAATGTAGGTGCTTGAACCACTTTCAATGGCAGGCTATTCCAGACCTTGGGGCCTCGGACAGTGAAGAAATTCTTCCTTATGTCCAGCCTGAAACTGTCTTGCAGGAGTTTATAACCGTTTGACCCTGTCATCCCTTGGGGCGCTCTGGTGAACAATCGTTCCCCCATATCCTGGTGAACACCCCTGATAAACTTATAGGTGGCTATCAGATCGCCCCTGAGCCTGCACATTTTCAGGCTAAAGAGTCCCATAGCTCTCAGCCTGTCATCATAAGGTCTGTTTTCCTGACCTCTGATCATGCGTGTGGCTCTTCTCTGAACACTCTCAAGCTTCTCCAAATCCTTTTTGAATTGTGGAGCCCAAAACTGCACGCAGTACTCCAGCTGCGGCCTCACCAAGGCCTAGTACAACAGTTGAATGACATCCCGGGATTTGCTTGAGAAGCATTTACGGATGCAAGCCAGTGTTTTGCTCACTTTACTAGCTGCAGCATCACACTGAAAGCTCGTGTTCACCTTGTGGTCAACCATTACCCCCAAGTCCCTTTCATCTGTAGTACTAACCAGCATAGCATTGCCGAGCCTATAAGGACGTTGCAGGTTTTTCCTCCCAAGGTGGAGAACCTTGCATTTTTCAGTGTTAAACACCATCAGGTTCTCATCCGCCCATTTCCTGAGCCTGTCAAGGTCAGCCTGGATTGCCCTCCTGTCCTCAGGTGTGGATGCTTTACCCCAGAGTTTGGTATCATCAGCAAACTTGGCTAGTCTGCTTCTGACTCCAATGTCCACATCATTACTGAAGATGTTGAACAATATAG